AAAAAAAAAAAAAAAAAAAAAAAATGACAAAATGTTTGATAAAGGGCTAGATTTTAAAATGTATGAATTCATAATTTGATAGAAAAACAATCTAATAAGAAGCAGACAAAAGTCCGGTGTGATGGGGCATACCTATAATCCCAACTACTTGAATGACAAAAGCAAAGGGATCACAAGTTCTAGGCCAGCCTCAGCACAATTTTGTTTGTTTTGTTTTTTGCAATAGGGTCTTGCTATGTAGTTCAGGGTGCCCTTGAACTCTATGTAGTCCAATATGGCCCAGAACTGGTGACAGTCCTCCTGCCTCAGCCTCCCAACTGCTGGGACTACAAGCCTGTGTCACCATGCCCTGAAGCCTGGGCAATTTAATGAGACCCTGTCTGAAAGTAAAATTTATAAGGGTTAGGGTTGTAGTTCACTGGTAGTGTTGCTTCTCTCGTGTATGTAATGGCCCAAGTTCAATCCCCAGCAAAAGCAGAGGGAAAAGCAGGCAAAAGATTTTATAGAAAAGAAAGGACATGAAATATAAATTGTCACTAGGGAAATGCAATTAAAGCCACAGTGAGATACTACACACAATAGAAAAGCTAGTATTAAAATCACCCTACCAAGGGTTGGTGAGAAGAGAAACAATAAATTCTTAAAGATAGCTGCTATCAGGTTTTGGGAAAACGGTATGGAAATTTCTAACAGTAAAATACAGACTCCTATAATCCAATCATTTCATGTCCAAGTACCCATAAGAAAGACATGGATGATCCATACAAAGACTTGTACAGTGTACATAGCAGCTTTAGTTGCATTAGCTAAGGACTGGAAAAAAAAAACCTAAATGAACATTGAAAGCACATTCCTGTAATTCCAGTCTTCTTAGGAGGCTAAGGCAGGAGGATCTCAAGTTCAAGCCCATTTTGAGCAACTTAGTGATGTAACAAGACCCTGTCTCAAAACAAACAAAAACTTTTGGGTGTGATGGTCATGTGTGTTACCTGTGACAGTGTTTACATACGTCACAGCTAGCAAGTTACGCTCTGCATTTGTGCATCTGTCTATACCTCAAAAGCTGCTAAGTAAACATTGCTTTACAAATAAAGGAGGAAAATTTTAGTAATAAAATTTAATTGGTTTGTCTTAAAGAGGACCAGGGATAAGAGAAATCAACACCTGAACAATGTTGATTATTGTATTTCAAGCACATGATACATCTCTCTATGTAGGTCTTTAATTTTTCCTAGCAGTTTAGTAATTTTGGGAAGAAGTAGGATTGAACCCAGGCCTTCTCACTGAGCTACATTCTCAGCCCTTTTTATTTTTTATTTTTTTATTTTGAGACAGGTCCCTCTTAGTCACCAGGCTGTGTTCAAACTTAAGATCCTTCTGCATCAGCCTCCCAGAGTGCATGTACCTCCTCATACCTGACTCCTCAGTTTAATAATTTTCACTATCTACTGTGTGCATCTGTGAAAAATTTATTCCTATATACTTTATGCTTTTTATGCTAACAGAAAGAATTGATGTTTTGTTCTTTTTAATTTCAATTTCCAATTGTTTGCTGCATGTATAGCATTACAGCTAATTGCTGCATACTGACTTGAACTTACTTTACTCATTCATTAGTTCTAGTAGTTTTTAGTTAATTCTTTAGTGTATTTTATATAAGCAGTTACATCATCAGCATGTAGGGTCAATTTTACTTCTTCCTTTCCAAACTGATTCTGTGTGTGTGTGTGTGTGTGTGTGTGTGTGTGTGTGTATGTTGGTCAA